TATGGTGATATTCTTTCTTTTGCTCCGGTGCAATCGCTCTTTTCATTTCTAATGGCCTTGAAGGCAGCAGGCACTTTCAAGAATTCAAGAAATATAGCTGTGGGAAACAGAAAGTTAGAAAGGTCTTCTCAGCAAGATTTGATACGAATACTGGATTTTGAAGAGTGAAATTTTAGGAGTGAAGGAACTAGATTTTTTTTAGTATTCTTAGGGTGGCAGACAGGGTGATAAGATTTGATTGAAAAGGTATCCAGGGTGCCTTAAAACTTACAGGTTTCTAGTAAAATAAGAATTGCAAAAAATAAAAAATAAATTGGGTAAGGGACAAATTGTATATCCACAAGAAACAAAAGAACAGCCTAAGGACGAGGATGAGAAAGCCCTATCCCAACCAAGAAAAAGACTAATGAATTATAGCTTTCCAATCTTGAAGAATCAAGGATAAGCGGTAGTTACAAAAGAATTTCTTGTGTTTTAAGCGCCAGAAGGATGTAGTAAGCTGTACTCTAAATGAATCAAAAGAGGCCACAACTCCCTCCAAAATTTTCAAAGCATAGCTCTAGTTGCACATTTCCAAATTTTTGCTCTTCCTCTATGCTGCCATCCATTTAAAAATTCCAGCGTTCATTCATCAATCGACCTGGGAACACAGAAGGATAAGCCAAAAACACTACTCAAAAAGTTTCAAGCATTTGCCTCTAAATCACAGGGCAAAAACAGATCATCTAAATTTTCTCCATCCTTCAAATATAGGCTGCACACCATTGGGAATAAAGCCCAATTACTAAATTTCTTCTGTAATCTCGCTTGGGTATTAAGCTCCTATGGGCCGAGCTCCAAAGGAAGACTTTTGCTTTCTTTGGGATATTAAACTTCCACACTTTCTTTATTAAGGGAGAAACCAGCTTTTTTGAGGTTTCTGTCAGCTTTATGAAGGCCCTCATTTAGCAGTAACACTATCCAATGAAGGAGATTTTTTAAAAAAAAAAAAAAATTAAATATTTAAATAAAATTTGTCATCCCTGCTGGTTCGAGTCAGGACATGTGGAGGTCTTGTATCGATAAGGCTCCAAGAATGAAGAAAACTAAACTTAATCCACAACTTTTTAGGCTGAAAAGAAAAATTTGTTGGAGATAGAACTTAGGGGAGCCTAAGAAAACTGAACTTAATCCATAAGTTTTTAGGCCCCAAAGAAAATTCTTTGGAGATGGAACCTAGGGTGGAAAACTAAACTTCTTTGGAGATTTACTGCTAGTGCGAAGCAGTGGAGCCCCTTGCTAGAATTACCAGATATTTTTTAGGATAAGTCTTCTAATCTTTCTTTTTTAGAGCTTCTTGGGGGAGCCATTCTTACAACAAATTCTTTTGTAACTATCCTATTTCCATGATCCTCAAGGATTGGAAGGCTTTTTTGTCATTTAGTTTCGCTTGGTTCTCTCTTCCCCGCCCTTAGGTTGTTTTGCTTTTTTTTTCGAAATGCAAAGTTTCAATTTCTTCTTATCATAAAAAAATAATAATAATAATAAATAACGTAATGAAAAGGAGGGACAGACTACAGACAGTAGACAGACGTAAAAATCCTTAGGCCAAGAAATAGAATAGTGTTGGAGGACTTTGATAAAGTTGTTTGAGAAAGGATTATTGAAACCCTATAAAACACGGACACGGCAAAAAAGGAGTGTCTGTGTCGGACACGTGTCGGACACGGATACGTCCGGACACGCTCCGAACACGTGTCCGACACGCAATTTAAAGTGTCCGAATATTAAATTTTTTATTTTAATTTCAGACACGTGGGGACACGTTTTGGACACGGGAGGGACACGCCAGATAAAAAAAATATTGTTTCCTTAGCCCAATTTTGGAAGTCCAAGAAGTTTGGCTGAAATCTCAAAAACTTAAACTACAAAAAAAAAAAACCCTAAAACGCTACCTAGTGACCCACCCTTCTGTTTGTGTGAGTTAAATTAAATAAGCTCTATTCTTAATTCCTTTTGTCCCTAATTTCATATGAATTAAACTGGAGTAGAATATGATTTACTAAATTAGGATGACAACTTCGACCCAATAATCAAATTCAAATCCTTCTCTAGGATTTTTTAGTGGATTACATTTACTATTTTTATGCTTTTTAGTGGGGTACATCTTCAACCCAATAAATTTACTTGACATTTATGTTTTTTAGTGAAGTATATTTAGCATTTTTATGTTAAATTTACCTATATCCTAAAAAAATAATAAATAAATAACGTATCCCCAGCGTGTCCATGTCCTAGTTTTTTAGAAGTTGACGTATCGCCGTGTCCTGTCGTGTCCGTGTCCGTGTCCGTGCTTCTTAGTTGAAACCACACGACTATGTTTCATGATGACTGGCGTGCAACTTGGGAAGCTTTAAGAAACTTTGTGAATGAGATTGCATGCTTAGATGTTCCAAATTGAGGAAGAGGTGAGAATTCTGTCTCTGACTCTTAATGAAGGGTCATAAATGCTATTGGATTTTCTAGAAAAATTTGAACCGTGGAATAAAGGCTTACATGGAGAGCCAGATTGTTAAGAAACCCTTGAGAGTTGGATCTAAGAACCTTGCTAACGAACAAGACCCATAGAACTCAATCCCAAAAACCCCGAAAACACGGTCAGTGAGGCATGACAAAAGGAGCTCCTTGGTTCATATCACAGATGTATGTTCTGCCATAGAAAGGGGATGGGGAAGGCAGGGCAGGAGGTAGCGAGAGGATGAAGATTCCGAACCTCACTTTTTCTCTGCTAAATGAGGAAACCTTGATATGGATATGGAATAGATGCAGCAATTATATCTAGAATAGAACAAAAACAATAGAGGCATGTAAGTATTCGAATCAGACGTAGATACTGTAGGTTTAGTCCTTTATGGAGATGAAGATCAATGCAGAGACGAGTGGTGGCTGCATTCTCATCCAGTCTAATCAGCTGGTACTGATAAGAATCACTCTTTTTCATGGAAGATTTACTGCAAAAGCTTTGATAAAGTTCCATAACAAAGATATGGTCCTCGCTCAACGGATGGATAATGAGTAGGTTGGCCAAAGAAAAGGAGCAAAATTTAAGGGGTTAAAAATACGTTACTTTGAATAAGGGTTGGGTTGAAGTGAAGGGTAGTGTGTTGACACAAGGCTTTAAGGCTACATCATACATGAGTTCCAACTTTTGATCGGACGTGAGTTTTACTCATATGATGGACTTGGGCCTTACAGAAACCAAGAAAGCATGAAGGAGAATGATAAGGGAGGAGGGCCTAAGGAAGGGCGTACAGGCCGGTGAATGAAGGGGATGATGACTTCAACAACTGGAGGATTAAGGAGGCATGACCACTATAATCCTTCCTCCTTCGACTCAGAGAGCTCTATTTGAATCAAAGCAGTTACAGAAGTGTCTGACAAAGAAGCAAATTTGATGCAAGATTTCAGATTTGAGCATAAACAATGCTGAAAACTTTCTAAGAAAACTTCCTCGTCATCCATTCTGTCTTTTGATTTGTATGCATGAGGGGTTCGAGAATCAAAAACTTTATCAGCAAAACATTTCCCTCCTTGTAATGGTGGTTCGGACAATTCCTTTCTGAAACTTGGTGCTTTTCAACTTAACACCATTTTTAGTAACCATAGACTGCACTGCAACAGGTGTGACTCTGACTTGGTGATCAAGATGAAACATTAATTACATTATAACTTGTTCCGTGATAAGAAATATGGGTAACTGAAAAGCTCGAACTCTTTTGATTTATTAATAACTTGTTTGCAAAATATAATATAACAAATGGTCCAATGCAATCAAGACCATTCTTTTGGAGTTTTAGAATGAGAGACCTTCAAATTATGAAGGTTTGTGGGTTGGACGAAATGTGGTATTTAGCTAGGTGGTTGGCCTCCTCATGGTGTACTCTCTCTTTACCCAGATATTTGTAACTATATTTTCTTTTGTATTTTTGCTCATCAGGGTCCACTTTTGTAATCCCCATAGTGCTTGTAGGGTAGATTTCTCATCTACCTTCGTGTATTTTTGGGTTATTAGTTTTTTTTTTTCTCTTGTTAAAAAAATATAGCTGATTTTGGAAGTCTTGATTTTTATTTTTATTTTTTGTTAGGTAACGAGATGTGTAACTCTTACTCAGATCAATGTTGATGACAGATCAATGTCATCAAATTCATGGCAACTATTACTCGTGCAAGTAGGTAATCACTCATGAATCCACTATTTGATCACGAATTAATTTTTCAAGCAAATTTGTTATATTGTATGTCATTCAACTAACCTCCGTGTCAACCGTACATCACTGACAGGAGGATCATCAGGAACTTGAGGAGGTTTTGGAACATTCTTTTTGGGCAAAGGTTTTATCCTGATTTTCCGTTCATCTATAATGGTCTCACCATTCTCATCTCCAACATCTGCAGGAAGCTTTGACAATGCAACTTCTTCCTCATGTTTATCACGAGGAAAGTACAGTGGAAGCAACCTGCCTCAGAAATATGTAAAAGCAGACAGAATAAGTCCCGAATGAATCATTATACTTTGTACAGAATGGAAATGATAACTTTAGGAATGACAGGCCTCGGTTACTTGAGAGTGAAGTACCTTTTGTATATTTCTGTATCTATTGATGATGTTGTACAAAATACAACAGCTTTAATTTTATCTTTCTGCTTCTCAAGAAAACGACGAACAGTTCCTAAACAAAAGCAGAAGAAAAATCAAATGGAGGATAAGATTTTAAATAAGAGTTTCAACCAAATCCATCAAATAACTGGAAGAGCTCCTTTGGTAGCATATCAATAAGTTGATAAAGTAAACAAAATTACATGTTTAACTAATATTAACATAGATTTTCATCTTAGAAGTAGGTGACTTGTATACCACTACAAACTGGAGAATCTCAGATGATTTAAATGCAATTGCTGTGCTGTCTTTAAAGAATTTCGTGAAGACTGGATGGAAATGACCCATAACATATTAAGAAAAATAATAAAAGAGATGATTAAAAATTTAGAATCAACTTTTCACAATTGTGATTGTCATATACTAGCACTTGTTGGCATGGATATGTGCAAGTCCTGAGGGCCAATTCCCTAGTAGGTACAGGCATACTAGGTAAATTGGCAGTATGGAAGTTCGTAGAAACAATTTGTGTACATAATAGCACAGGAAAATTGAAATCATAGTGGCATAGAGAAAAATATAAACAACTTAAAGAAACATGTAGGGAAATATCTCACTTATTGCTACATGTGCAGCAGGTTCACGGGGATAGTTTTTTGCCTCTGTATATATACAGCCCATAGCAATGCTGCATTAATATTACCATTAACATGTAAGCTAAAAATACCAAGAGATGCATGAGATGAGCAAATAGTATGTTGGTAAAGGAGTGTAGCATCAACTACTTTCACAACCTCTGAAGGCCATTTTCAATGAGAAGTTCAAGGCAAGAACGGTAGCAATGGCTCAGAGCATTTTCTGCAGCAGTATGGTATTTGACTGCATATTTTGGACCAACAGTATGTATGACCTTCCTGAAAGAACATGATAAAGATTAAATTGAAGTGGGAGGAAAACTAACAAAAGTGAGATTGAGTTTTTTTTGGAAAACGTAGAGGTCTTTACTGAGACTTTGAGATCCAAACATTAACTACATACTCACCTAGCAGGAAGGTCATAAGCATTAGTGACTTTTGCCATTCCTGTGCGACAACCACCCTTCAGGAAGTGAAAGCATTTCCAGTGAGTCAGGTTTTGACATTCTTATTGTCCAAAGAAGCGTTACAAAAATAAAAACTTCTTTATGAAATGGTGAAATCCATATTCCACTATCTCCAACTATTCACAATTGTCTTATATGAGGTGTGTGCATATGTTAATTTGTGAAAATCTTTGATACTTCATGAGGGTAAAAGCATAAAATAAAAGCCTAACTGAAGAAAAAACAATCACAGGCGTACAAGTGTTCCACATTCTTCTGAAAGACCAGGTCCTGCTGCAGCATGCAAACCAGGGCTACTGTGCGCTTCATCCAAGTTCTGTATGATGTATTTGTACAATCAGAAGAGATTAGAGATTTCAAAAATTAATAACCCATTTTATTTTTTATAAATTTAACCGGAAAAGTTATTTGCTAGTTACAAATCCAAGATATTTAGCTTCCAGATTCTAGTGAATCTAGCCAGTGAATATAGCTTATGAAGAGTTCTCTAAAAATGCAAGAAGATAGTTTAACTGGTTCATCAAAGAAGATAATATAAAGCTCTCGTAAAGTCAAATTCTTAGAAATTTATTCTTGGATAGTTCTGTTAGTTAATTTTTTAGTCTTTTTCAAGTGTTTGTGTGTGCAGAGTGTTGTGACTTAGTTTTTGTTGTCCTACTCTTTATGTAATTTTTCATTTCTTCACTGAAAATTTTCTGCTTACTTTTCTTTAAAAAAGATAATACAAATTAGATACTAAGGATCAATAGTTGTCTAAAACATAACAAGCACCACAAAGGCTTTTATGCTAACAGGTATATATTGCAAAAAAAAAAGTCTAAAAACATAACTTTTTCACTTAGGAAAGTTTGAGGATTTTGATTTTTACAGTTGAAAGCTCATTAGTGCAATTTTTCCACTTGTAAAAGTTTAAGGGTTTAATTTTTATAATTAAAAGTTTGAAGGTGCATTTGTAACAATCATCATACTTTAAAGGTGGTTAGTGCAATTTTCCCTTTCACGTTCCTAAATTAGCCTCTAATCTCTTATCTGCTAGTAAACTTTGTAGAGATTCTAATCCCTACGATACACTTTCCCTGTAGTCTGTTCTTTCACATTCCGAAATTAGCCTCTAATCTCTTATCTGCTAGTAAACTTTGTAGAGATTCTAATTGTCGTGTTACTTTCTTTAAATCACATTGTATTTTTAGAATCAAGACTCAAGGATGAAGATTGGGAGCGATAGGATACTTGGTGGTCTATGCTACTTTGATGAAGGTCCTTCTAGTAATAAAATAACTCAGGATCTTGGTAGTATTAGTTCTCTCTTTGATCATGAGCAAATCATGCTTTGACAATCTAAGATTGGGCCATCCCAGTTTTTTTCTATCTCAAACATTTATTTCCAAAAATTTATTAAAAGATGTTGATTGTTCTTCTTTTCGCTGTGGAAGTTCCATTTTAGCAAAAAAAAAAAACCATAGATCCATATATCTGTGATAGCATGCTCGATGCTTGATGGTCTTTGCTACATTGATGAAGGTCCTTCTAGTAATAAAATAACTCATGGTCTTAGTAGTATTAGTTCTGTTTTGATCATGAGCAAAGCATACCTTTGGCATCTTAGGTTGGGTCATCCCAGATTTTTCTATCTCAAACATTTATTTCCAAATTCGTTCAAAGATGTTGATGGTTCTTCTTTTCACCGTGAAAGTTGCATTTTAGCAAATACTAACTTTTCAAACTTTTCACTGTTGATGGTTCTTGTTATATGATTGAAACTCAATTTCAAATCTTTTTTGAACAAGATACTAACTTTTAATTGATGAGATGAAAAGGAACAAAATCAGAGAATTGAACAAGATACAGGGGTGTTTTGATTTGAAAGAAATCAAATATTTTTTTATGACAAGACCAAAGATTGGTTTGGATGTTTCAACTTGGCTTAAATTTAAGGCCTCACAATGGTGTTTGCTTCCTAGTTTATTTGCGAATTACTCTTCTAGTATTATCAGATCAGTTCTTCTCGGAATGTATTTATATCTTACTAGTTCTTTTGCCTTTTATCTTTATTCGCTTTCATCCCTGGGAATTTGTATCCTTAAACAATTTTTGTTCCTTTTCATTTATCAATGAAAAGTTTGTATCTTTGGTTGGAAAGGAATTCTCGTGTTTTTGAAGATAAGTCCTCTACTTTTGACATTTTTTGTAGGAATGTACAGTACACCGCCTCCTGGTGGTGCATCAATTATAGAAAATTCTTTTGTAACTACATCCTTTCAATGGTCATTAACAATTGAAAAGAGA